TCCGCTGTGGACACGAATCATGACACGCCGCGTGGAATCTCAGCTCAGGCGTGACTGGTGCTTCGGATTCACGATGTCGTCCCTGTTGTACCAAAGCGCCTTAAACACGTCCCGAAGCATGCGACTGGTTGCAGATCATGAGCAAGGGGAGGACGAATCGGGTCGCGACTTTACGTATATGGAGGAGGCTGCCATAATCATAGTAGAAGCATTGCGAGGCACGTACCCAGATCCAGGCACTGGACAACGGCGCGCAGTGAATGGGGACGTGTCGAAGTTGAAATTCGTCACGTCATTATCGGAGACCGCGCAGAGAATGGTGCGGCAAGCGCAGGCCATTAAGAAGAAGATCGGATGAGCAAATGATTTACGTACAATTACGCGGTTCGATACCCACGCTGGTCGGGTGGCTCAAGGCGCCCCTGTATGTTTTACGATGTCCCCAGATGAAAGGCACAACCTCGTCATGGCACGGCTGAGTAGATCGCGCCGAAAGGACCCAGTCAACAGGCATCGGGTGCAGGAACAACAAGGCCCGTCGAATGGCGGATTGTTCGAGCCCGGTTTTTCAAGCGCATGCGGCGTGCCAGTCGAGGGCGAGGCGGTGGAGGGTGACGCTGACGATGCGAACATGGCAATACCCATGGAGGTTGTATGTCAAAACGTAGCAGCAGCCAAGATGCGATTGGAGCGCTTGGCACGGGATCCTCTGGCGGGCGTCGACGGCTTTCGCACAATCGCAGGGCTGGTGTTGGAGCACCTGTTCGGGATTCGGTGGTGTCCGCGGTGTCCCGACTGTGATTGCGCAGATCTGGCAGGTAGTAACGCGAAACTGGTAGGCGGTGCGCGGGACGAGTGGACGGTGTGTACGGCTCCATCGAAGCTCAGAAGTCCGCGGGCAGTTTGCACCTGCACGCTCAGTTGTTCGTCCAATGCCTCTATCAGCACACGCCGCTGCACGAGATCATTCGCCGTCCCTCTGACGAGCTTCAGCGTTTGATATGCGGCTACGCAGCATTTAAGGCTGGCGTCGCGACAGGTATACGCAGATGTGGCGGAATGGCAGAGGCAGAAAGAGCACATCGAAACATATTGGCTTGCGTATGAGGGCACGGAAGACCTCATTCAGGCAGAACCGTATCTGAAGCAGAGCGATGCGCATGTGCAGCGGACCCTAGAGGGGACCCAAGAGCTCAGCTCAGAGTCGGAGAGCGGGAGCGCTTCGAAATGGCGGTTGCGAAAGTATTTGCAATGTGCAGAGAGGTCAGGGATATCGTCGGAACCACGTACACAAGTGGAGCCTTCGGCACTCTAAATTTGTGCCCTTGTTACACTGTCAACGAGATGACGACCCATTGAAGTGCAAGAGCTTTTTCCCTCGGACGACATGGCTGGTGGGGAAGACCGTGCTTGTGTGTCCAGGCTTTCTGGGAAAGAAAAAAAAAACGCTCCATGCCGCGTGGGGGGCGCAGGGATATGACTGGATGCCTACACGGGCCGCGCAATGAGGAGAACCTGAACGGGACATTGCCTGCATTGTTGAGCGGCGGCCTTGGATTGAATTTCAACTCCGATGGCCAGCTCCCGTGCAGGTTCCCAACTTTGGAGCAGACGCATGACGGGGACGCATGCGCAGAGAGGTGTTGGGACGGCGCGGAGGTAAAAGATATCGTGCTCGCGGCACAGCGCGCGCAGAACGCCCGAGCAGGATATGCGTGAGACTATGGGGCGAAGCGTCTGGCGTCGTCATTCAACGAGGTGACAGAGTGCAAGAAAGGACACCATGCGTTGGCGGACACAGTGAACGGGCGTAGCGCCTCCTACGTGGCGCACCGCCACATCACGCGGCTACTCTCGGATATGTACGGGAAAGGGATCGTGCGGTCCGCGCAAGAGAGTGCGAACCTGCGCGCGTACTCGGATGTGCGAGACGTGACAGCTGCGGCGAGTATTAAGACGTCGAGAACAGCAATGGTCCCTGGGTTTGACGTGGTGAGCATGGTAGAAAAGGAGTGCGGCGTGCCGCCGGAGCGATCGGACCCCGGCAGAGTTCATGTGGAACGCGATGGTAGGCGCGCAAAGAGGCCGCGCGTAGTCTCAAAGAATCCAGCATTCCTGTAAGTACGGCATGAGACCGTTGGATGCTAAGTGGGCCCCAGAACTACGGTACCTTTCTGTATATGAGTGTTTTTTTTTCCCCCCCCGATATTGGCGTATCGAAATGACAAAGTGGTCCACGAAGAGAAAGAAAAGGAAAGAGGTAGCAGAGGAGGTCGAGGAAGACACGGAGGGCGAGGAGGACGAATGTCAGTATCACGCAATACTCACGGCGAGCGGCAAGACGAAGGTCCGGGAGGCACGGCAGAGGGGAGTGGAAGAAGCACCGCTTTTGGCAGGGATCGATTATGTCATTCGCGGCGACGGCTGCGACGCGTGGGTAGCGTTCCCTGACGTTGAAGGCATGGAAACGACACGGCACAAGTGGGTGTTAGTTCGGAACGAGAGTCCGCGGAACCCGAGCTTTCACGGTGCACCACAGCCGAAGCATCGGCAAGGGGAAGCAGATAGGAACGCGCTCATCTTGATGGCGTATTTTCGATCGTTCACTCTGCAAGACACAGATTTGGACGGGGTATCGAGAGTGTCAGAGTGGTGCACTGGTGAGAAGACGCTGGCACAAGCCGCACGTGAGTGGTTGGATGGCGGCCTTCCTTGCGAGGAATCGAAGAGGTATGTGCAGAATTTCATGAGCGTCGTCGACATGCGTCCCGAGGGGGATGACGCTGGGAGGAAGCACGACGATGACTTGTTCAGCGACGAAGATGTGGACGTCGACGAGCTCGACGAAGGTGTCCGGCGGCGCGTGCACGTTGGGGGCACGCGCTTAGAGGACGATAAAGGGAAACGACAGGCGCGTTGCAGAGGCGCGTCGCCTGAGCGCCGAAGCCATGGCATTATCGACGCGTGTGCGGGGCCGAGAGGCGGGCGGAGATGGAAGGGGGCCAAAGCTGCTCCCGGGCCGGCAGGGCTACGATACACGCTAAACGGAAAACCCCTGACCGTAGGACCTGACCCCCCTTTTTCCCCCCCCTACAGGGGCCCTAAATTCGGCCTCCGGCCGCAGGGACACTGACAGTGCGCCCACCCACTTTCACTATGTCTCGACGTTCGTTGTCGCATGCCGTTTATAGTCTTATCTTCCTCCTAATCCTCCTCCTTCCTCCTCCTCTTCTCCTCTCCTCCTCCTCCCTCTCATCCTCCTTCCTCCTTTTCCCATTTTTTTCCTCCTTCCACTCCGTTTCCTCCTCCGTTGCCTCCTCCTATGCAAACCTCCTTTTCATCCTCCTCCCTTCCTCCTCATCCCCCTCCTCCCTCCTCCTCCTCCTCCCTCCTCCTCCTCCTCCTCCTCCTTCCTCCTCCTCCTCCTCCTCCTCCTCCTTTCCTCCTCTTCATCCTCCTCCTCCTTCATCATCATCCTGCCCCTCCCTGCTCTCTCCTCCCTACGGGGCACAGGCTCTTTGTGCTTCCTTTCTTAGCTGATGAGGATGCCTTCTACCTCCGAAATGCGAGGTGCGGGGCCCGCACTTCGAGAGGTTGGCGTTGCTTGGCTAGGAGTTGCCATGGAGGTTTCTCGTCGGATGTCCAGCCGCATGTTGAAGGGGCAGCATCCACGGACTCAGGCGCAATGGAAGGCAGCAGCAGCAGCAGCAGCAGCAGCAGCAGCAGAGGCGGGGCCTCCCTCGTGCGAATTCGCGGTTGCCTGGCATCGCTGTTTGATGGGTAGGGCGAGGCAGAGTCGGATTATTCTAACTGGTCGTCAACCTCCTCCTCCCCCTGCTCCTCCTGCTCCTCCTCCTCCTCCTCGTCCTCCTCACTACCATCATCATCTTTGTACTCTACCTCCCCCTCCTCCTCTTCCTCCTTTTCCTCTTCCACCTCCAGTCCTTCTAAATGTATTCCCCCTGTCTCACCATTTATGACCCTGACGCTTCAAGATTGGCAGCAGCTTCACACATAGAGGGCGGGCCGTTTTCAAAATGTGGCTCTCGCTTTAGCGCCGCGCACATCGTTTTGAACATTTGCAAGAATTTTGCGGGTCGAGGGCGGGTGGTTTTCACAATTTGGCCCTCGCCATAACGCCGCGCGCATCCGTTGTGAACAATTGCAAAAGTTTCACGGATTGAGAAGAACCCGTTTTCAAAACGTGGTTCCCGCTCTAGCGCCGCGCACATTCGTTTTTTAGTACAACTCCAAGAAATTCAAGGATTGATGCCGGTTCCGTTTAAACATGTGGCTCCCGCTTTTGTGTCGCGCACATTCGTTAATAAAGTGTGCGCAGGTTCCACGAGTTCCCATGATTAAAGTACCAGAAGTGGTGTTTTGGATGGACTCGGGTTTTTGCAGGTGCAACGGTTACGTTCACTCGCGGTGGTGAAATCCCAAGAAGGGCGTCCTGTCGCGATTCCGGATCGTCTAGCCGCAACAGTCAGGTTGATCCGTGGCGTTGGAATCCCGATAAACATGTTTTGGCATGATTAAGGGTCTTCGAGCGGTTGTTTTCCAACCAGGCACTTCCTTCACTGGAAATGAACCGTTGTATGGGGCCTATGAAGAGGGAGCTTGGAGGGAGGGTTGATTCCAACATCGTTGATGACTCTTGGGCTTACTCTTGTCCTCCCCCTTGTCCTCGTCTTCCTCCTCCCCCTCCTCCTCCTCCTCCTCCTCCTCCTCCTCCTCCTCCTCCTCCTCCTCCTCCTCCTCCTCCTCCTCCTCCTCCTCCTCCTCCTCCTCCTCCTCCTCTCCTCCTCCTCCTCCTCCTCCTCCCCCCCCCTCCTCCTCCTCCGCCTCTACCTCCTCCTCCTCCTCCTCCTCCTCCTCCCCCTCTCCCCCTCCTCCTCCTCCTCCTCCTCCTCCTCCTCCTCCTCCTCCTCCTCCTCCTCCTCCTCCTCCTCCTGGTGCTGCGTGCTCCGCCTCCGCCCCCTCGGCCCCTGCGGGCGCAGGACGGGAACGTGGGCTGCGGCTCCTGCGTGTACAACATGTTCCTGTGGACTAAGCCGACCCTGCTGCAGGCGCCCATCCCGCATCCATCCCCTCCCTCTCCCCAGACCTCGGGCGTCCAAGGCCCTTGCATCCTCATCGCGCATCCTTGCTATACTGGTTGACTGTATGCGCGGGGCGCCTGCGCACGGCCCAAGGCTTTGCCGCAGCGTGCACGTTGCATCGGCGTGTTTGGCAGGGACGGTGGCCCTGCCCACACGGGGCAAGATGATGCCCCCCCCTCCGCCCCCGTCGAAGAGGAGTGTGAAGCGATCGCGGGGCACCCGAACATGATCCCGATGCAGGTGCACAGGGCCGACCCTGCCGCAGGCGCCCATCCCGCTTCCATCCCCTCCCTCTCCCCAGACCTCGGGCGTCTCGAACAAACCGAGGCGGAGGTTCTTCGTCGTTTTCGGCTTCTCGGGGCCCTCGCTTGGCCCCGGGACCGTCAAGCAACGACTCGGGAGGCAACACTGGCCCCGGGCAAGTGGTCGGGAGGTCGGCGGCCCGTGTCTCGGAACATTGCGACGTCGGATGTCTGGGTCGAGGCTCGAGGTGGGGGCTGCAGCGCATCTTCCTCCGAGGCGGGGATTTCCACATAAGCGCCTCCTGCGGACTCGGTCTTCGGGGAGATCGGCGGGCTGTGGGTGTGCCTCCGGGGGCGAAGTCACCTTGGAATCCCTTGCTGGATCAGTCCGTAGCCGCAGGGGGCTGGGCCCCATTGTCGCTTCAACCCACTCCCCGTCCTCCTGCCTCGTGTTGATGCGCCGCCCGTCACGGCGGCGTGATGGGGGGGGATCGGCGGCCTGAGGATTCGGATTGCGCGGATTCTTCCTCCACATCTGGACCGAGTGCGAAAATGAACGAGTGAGGAAGGTAAGGATGGATCTATTCCGGCGACTGGGCGGCCAGTAAATCCATACACCGCACTCACATCTATACCCCTGGGTGGGTGTATGTGCGGCCGTTTTTGCGCTGTCATGTGCGCGGCATGTGCCAGTCATGTGCCAGGCTTGTGCGGTCCTTCTTGGATGGACTTCCTACTGTGCACGTCGTGCCCGGGCATGTGCGGGGGCATGTGCGCTGTGTTTTGATGTATCCATCATACGCACATGCGCGCACAGTCCGACGCACATGCGCGCACATGCCTGCACATGCGGGAGGTGTTCGAGAATCGCAGATCTGTCATCGGCACATGCACGCACATGCCTCTGCAACCTCTCTTCGGGAGGCCGCGCGGGCCCGCACATGCACGCACATGCGGTGAAGCGCGCGGGCGCACATGCGTGCACATCCCAATGCACATGCACGCTCATGCCCTAGGAGCTGTCTGGGACCCCTGTGCCTCCAATGCCCCCTGGCCTTCGCAGAGCTAACCTGCGGCGTGCCAGGGTTTCCTGAAAGAGTTTGTTGTGCTTTTAGACTCGCCCGCTGCTGGCGGGGGCGGTTATTCGCCCGGCTCGTGAGCTGGAGGTGGCGCGCCCGCCTAATAAAATATTTTCCCGCGCGCCTTCTCAGCTCGGCCGGAGAAGCAGGGATGGGGGGGGGGAGGTGGAGGGGGGGGGAGGAGGGGGGGGCGGAGGAGGCGGGCGCCCCCGGCCACTGGCCAGCCTGCCTGTTCGGCTCGGCCAGAGGAGAAGGAGGAGTAGGAGGAGGAGGAGGAGGAGGAGGAGGAGGAGGTGAGAGTTGCGAGGCTGTCTCAGGCGAAAGTGGCTTGACGGCCCGAGCTCAGGGAATCTCGGAATCGCTGGCCTGGCTCGGCCACCGGCGAGCTCGGCCTGTGCGAATACTGCGCGTACCTGTGCAGTGCATGTGCGGGACGTGCAAGAATGCCGGGGCCGGCGTTCGTCTCCGGACGCCGGCGCGTTCGCGTCCGGCCAGTTCCGCGTGAGACGTCGTCGGCAATTTGGAGGCCGACGTGCTTTGACATGAAGTGATCTGGCCACCTTCGCCTGAGACATCCTCGCAACTCTGGTCTCGGAGATGCCCTGCCCCATGGTGGCCCGGTCACTTTCGCTTGAGACATCCTCGGGACTCTGGGTTTCGAGACGCCCTGAGCTTAATTAGGCCGATGGACCATTGTTGCCGGCCCCACTGGGTGAAATTTCCGATCCAAGCCGAAATGACATTTTTCTATGGAATCTGGGAAGCCAACGAAAACTCGAGTTAGGCAGAAAAATCGTTGAACGACAGAAGTCGCAAAGGTCGCAAGTCGCAAGTCTTTGTTTGCGCAAGTTCGCAGCAAGTTGGCCTTACAGCGGTCCATCCATCGAAGCTCGGAAGCGAGGGAAAGTGCGAGGGGATGGAATCTCGGAAGCAAGGGCCTCCAATCTTGCACAAAAGCGAAAAGGAAATAATTAGCCTGACGAAAGACCCACCCATATGCAAGTGCGAGTACCGAAGGGCAGGTGGGACGAAAGATGGGGCGCTCCCTATTGGGCCACGAACCGTATGAGGGGCGTGCCGACACTGAAGGGGGATCCGAAGGAAGGCCTCAGGAAGGCCGCGGACTCGGGGCAGCTTCTTTTTGAAGTGCGGTCTCTCGGAGGGCCTCGCAGAGAAGTTTTTGAAACCCCTCGCGGCTCTGTAGAGAGAGCGTGAGAGTCCTCAGGAAGCCTCTTGGCCGTATTGGAATGCTCTTGGCGGTCCCTTGGGCCGTCTTGGACGCTTGCATGACGAAAAAAGCGAGTGAGCGAAACATGTACGTTTCCTATAGGACTCAGAACATGGTCGACTCTTCTGGCTCTCTCGGCGGCCATGTAGGAGCACTCTTGGGTCGTCTTGGGGGCCGCGTTGGTCACCGCGCACCCATGTCGGACCGTCGTGGGATTACCTTGGGTCATTTTAAAGCCCTATCGAATTATCTTGGCGCTCTGTGTGAGCCCTCCTGGGCTGCTTCGAGCTCTTTTAAAGCTCCCGAGGCTCCAGGTCAAGCGTTCGCGAAGTCATAGGCCCGGGGAAGGCCCCCCTCAAAACGTCATTTTGGGCCCCAGGGGATCGGGAAGAGTTGAGGGGCACAACCAAATGTCTCACACGCATTCCCCCCCCCCCCCCAAGTGGTAGTGGGCGGATTTTGAAAGATTCGCACGGCAGTGGGCATCTAAGAAAAACGGTGAACGTTGGCGCCACGATGTGGCCCACGTATGGCCGGGAGTGGCTGTCCCGCAGTTGACGACCATCATTTTGTATGCTCCACTCCAATTTCACATGTGTACTTCAATTCTTCGCTTGTCAGTGCACATCTCACAGGAATGGTGGTCGTTGGCCAGCGGCCTCTGGCCCTCCCCAGGCCTTTAATTGGTTTTGATTGCTGCGCGCGGCAGCGAGCATCTTAGAATAATGTTGGCCGTTGGCGCCACGATGTGTTCCACGTATGGCCGCTGGGTGCGGGGGCTGACATGTCGAGCTCCCCGCCCAAAGAGCCCCCCAGGAGTCCAAGAGGTCCCCAGGAGACCCCCAGCAGGCCCTCAAGAGGCCCCAAGAGGCCTCGAGAGGCCTCCAGCAAACCCCCAGAAACGCCCAAGAGAGCACTGGGACTGCCCCAACAAGACCCCGGGACGGCTGGAGGCGCCTCGACAAACCCTCACAGCGTCAAACGGACAACGCGGGAACCAACGTCATGCGCGCTGTAGGCATCCTCTTCTTTGCTGTTCTGTTTTCTCGCAAGTCATGCCCACTTGTCCTCCAAGGTCGGGGTTCGTGGCAATATCAGGTTTTTCCTTGACCTGGCGGAAGGGGCTCCCGTTTAGTATCCCCCTGGGGGGGTCCGGGGGGGGGGGGGCCCGGGAGATGGCCCCGGCGACGGGCGGAACGCTTGCAGAAGACGGTTGAAGACGGCACCACACGGCCCCATTTTTGCAGACGCGCTTCCAGGAGGCACGGACGGCCCCAAGATGGTCCACAAGATGGTCCAAGAAGGGTTCGAGCCACCGAAAGATCGGCCAAAGACGCCCCAGATGGGTCCAAGATGGCCCACGAGGCCGCCAAGACACCCCAAGAGGCCTCCAAGAAGCCGCCCAAGAGAGCCCCACAAGGCCAAAATCGCTTATTTTTCGTAGGTTTTTGACAGATGTTTGCCTTCGCGCCATTTCGGCTTCCCGACGCTCCAAGACGGTCCAAGAGGCTTCCAAGACTGCCCCAAGACCGCCCAAGAGGCCCCCAAGACGGCCCAAGAGAGGCCCAAGACGGCCCAAGAGGCGCCCAAGACGGCCCAAAAGAGCCCCAAGACGGCTCCAAGAGAGGCCCAAGAGAGGGACCACGAACCGAAAATTCAGCTTTCCGCCCTAAAAGGCCCGCAGAAGGCCCCAAGAAGCCCCCAAGAGGCCTCCGTAGCCATTTTGGCTCCAGCCATTTTGGTTCAAGCGTGGCTCGACAGCTCCGACTTTTGGGTTCGTGCTCCCCTCGCGCTTCGGCACTGGACGCGGCCGCCTGAGGCGAGCGTGGCGTGCCCCATCAGCTGCCACTGCGACTATGGCATGTCTGGCATCTTGTTGGGCATATTTATAATTCCCGCCGCGGGCGTGTTCACCTTCTTTCCCGTCTTCCTGAATTGGTTCGCGTGGGAATGGTACTTCGACCTGTGCTGGCTCTGGTTTTGCCTCGGGGTCGTCATCCTGACGTTCGGCTGCGTCTACGAGTGCTGCGTCGGTGTTCCCGACGCGAAGGCCCGGAAGGCAGAGGCGGACGTCGAGGACGGCGCCGTGAATGCCCCTGCGCCGTACATTATGATCAACAACTAGTGAGTTTTGAGCCCGAGTTCGACGCTACGCCTGTTGAGCTTGTAGACCGTTCATCATGTGTGTCCTCCACATGTTGCGATCTGCGTTGCCCCGGGTACGCTCGTACAAACTTGCTTTATGGCAGTTGGGGCGTTCAATCTTGAGACAGACTCAGGTGACATGAGTATTGCTGCAGAGCGGAGGGGGGAGGAAAAAAAAAAACCCAAGAGGCCTCAACAAGCGCCCCAGAGGCCCCCTAGAAGCCCCAAGAGGCCCCCAAGAGGCCCAAATGAGGCCCCAAAGCTGCTCCCGAA